AGTTCAAACAACCTTATATACCACAACGACTTGGAATAATATTGGTTCTTATGTTTGGTTTCTTTATTTCAGGCTCTGAGACATGTAAGACAAATTGCACAAGAGACAAGTGGAGAAGTTCAGTACGGTGGAGGGCGCCAACCTGCTGTTTTAAGAACCTTCAGTCAAAAACTCTGTCGGTAAGTATCACATCTAAACTCTCAAGAGTTGTTGTTTTTCTTTCTCTTTCTAAAGTTTAAATGAATGAAATTTCAGGGGATTCAATGATGCTGTGAATGGTTTTGTGGATGATGGATGGTCACCATTGGGTAGTGATGGTGCAGAGGATATTACAGTTATGATGAACTTGTCTCCTGGAAAGTTTGGTGGGTCTCAGTTCGGTAGCTCCTTCCTTCCAAGCTTTGGTAGTGGTGTACTTTGTGCCAAGGCATCTATGCTATTGGAGGTACATGTTAGATAATGGAAAAAAGCTTGTTCTCTGTTTTGGTCTTTAGTTTAACTAATTTGCATCTCTTTCTTGCATTTTAGAATGTTCCACCTGCTGTGCTAATTAGATTCCTTAGGGAACACCGCTCTGAATGGGCTGATTATGGTGTGGATGCTTATGCTGCTGCATCCCTCAGAGCAAGTCCCTTTGCTGTTCCTTGCGCTAGAGCTGGTGGGTTCCCTAGCAACCAAGTCATTCTCCCACTAGCACAGACTGTTGAACATGAAGAGGTGCTAGAGACTAAACAGCTTTACTTTTTTCTTCCCTCTTTAATACTTTCTTTTTATCATCCTGTGAAGCCTATTTGATTTTTTTTGGTTTCAGTTTCTTGAGGTGGTTAGACTTGAAGGTCATGCTTATTCACCTGAAGACATGGGTTTAGCTCGTGATATGTACTTGCTTCAGGTCTGACTTCATGGTTTCACATTGTCACAGTACATTAGTTCTCTTGTTGACATTTCCATCCTTGTTTCTTGTCCAGCTTTGTAGCGGTGTTGATGAAAACGTTGTTGGAGGGTGTGCACAGCTTGTCTTTGCTCCTATTGATGAATCATTTGCTGATGATGCCCCTTTGCTTCCTTCTGGTTTCCGTGTCATACCTCTTGAACAAAAATCAACCCCGGTAATATATCAAATCTTATCCAAATTACATGTATTTAGATGCCCTAGTCTAATAATCTTCCATTGTCATATATAGAACGGTGCATCTGCGAACCGTACGTTGGATTTAGCATCAGCTTTAGAAGGATCAACACGTCAAGCAGGTGAAGCTGACGCAAACGGTTGTAACTTTAGGTCGGTGGTGACCATAGCATTCCAGTTCACATTTGATAACCACACAAGAGACAATGTAGCTTCAATGGCACGGCAGTACGTGAGAAGCATTGTGGGATCTATTCAGAGGGTTGCTCTAGCCATTGCTCCTCGTCCTGGTTCCTGTATCAGTCCTATATCTGCTCCGACTTCCCCTGAAGCTCTCACTCTGGCCCGTTGGATCTCACGGAGTTACAGGTACTAATTAGCATTCTAAGCTGAGTGTTTAATTTGGTCTAAACTCTCTTCTTACTTGCTGTTGTAGAGTTCACACTGGTGTAATTCTCTTTGGCTCTGATTCTCAAACCAATGGTGACACATTGCTGCGTCAACTCTGGAACCACACTGACGCAATCTTGTGCTGCTCGCTAAAAACAAACGTAAGTGACTACATGTCTTTGCTTAAGGACATGTTTTTTTTTATTTTTTGAGATGGGTGTGTGACAATATTATCTCTTTTGCAGGCTTCACCGGTTTTCACATTTGCAAACCAAACCGGTTTGGACATGCTGGAAACTACTCTTGTAGCACTTCAAGACATAATGCTAGACAAGACCCTGGATGAGCCTGGTCGTAAAGCTCTTTGCTCTGAGTTCCCCAAGATCATGCAACAGGTTTTTTTTTACATTCACCTGATGGATCTTTTGCCATTTTCTTGGAAAAGCCATTGTCTGATTTGGAATGATGATTAATTTTTGTGTAGGGATATGCGCATCTTCCTGCGGGAGTATGTGCATCAAGCATGGGGAGATTGGTGTCTTACGAGCAGGCAACAGTGTGGAAAGTTCTTGAAGACGATGAATCGAACCATTGCTTAGCTTTTATGTTTGTGAACTGGTCGTTCATTTGAGGAAGAAGTGTACTCCATTCCCCATGGAAGGTTTGGTTATTTGTGTAAGATATTAAAGTTAGGGTGCTATTATGCTCAACAGTGTTTTGAAATTCAGAGACTAATATGTAATATGACTTATGTATGATCCTTTATGGATTGTTCTTGTTTTATGTTATGGCAGGATATTATTATGATGAATGTTATTAAGTCCTTTTTTGTTGTGCTAATTTGCTTTTGCAAGAGTTGTTTTTATCTGATCATTTTCCTTTGTCAACTATTTTCTTTTGTCAAATATTGCTATTTCGCAAATTCTCCCTATTATATATTAGGCATATTGAGCTGCATGAGTTAAACAAAAATCATAAAGAAAAAAGTGCTCAAAATTTGACAAGAAACTATTTAAAATGTGGAATATCTCATTAATTGGCACAAGCTTATCGTAAGTGTGTATATGTAGTTCTTATTCAATTTTACTCAATGAAATTTGTTTAGTAATGAAAATAAGATAAATGAAATTTAGAAAATAAACTTGGTTACAAACTTACAAACAACTTCTCCTCTACATTTTGATGACAAAAAATAAATGGGATAGGTTCGTATTTTGGAGTACGTATATATCAATACATATATATATATATATATATATATTTTTTTATTGACAGGGAATGATGCTAGGTTTGTGTATACTATTCACTAAAGAGGAGTGTAGGGTGGTCCAGTTTGACTATAGGTGCTACGCTGTGGAAGCCGTTTCTAGCACTGCAAGATATTCAAAGATTGGATCTGCATGAAATCTTCACAGTAAATGAATCTATAATTTTCACAAATTTAAATTGAGATCATATCTATCATAAGAAAACTAAATGATGATGAATTGATGATGCCTCCCTCTCTTTAACTAATAGGCAGAGAAACCTACAAACGTTTTTCTCCACAGCTGTCTATTTTAATGAATACATTTTAAATGTTTTTGCACTCTATACAAAGTGTGACCAATTTGGCAAAAGTGTGTATAGTAAAAAAAAATGGTCGCGATAACATTTACATTCTTAAAGGAAATTAGCATAGTTACGATTGTAGTTGTCACAAAAACATGGATTGAACTTTTAACAAATCATTTGGGTCTATAGATTCAACTATCTGTAGTGTTGTTGTGGGAAGAAACTACCATCATCACAGGTGGTATGACAACATAAAACGAATTGAAAACACACAACAAGGGCATTGAAACTCGAAAGGTACGTGAGAAAAGAAAAGTCATCAGAGTTTCATCAAAACTATGAGAATTTTTGGCTGGAAATCTACCTTATTTTACTTCATACATATGTATACTAAAATCATCACTCAAGATCTTAGATCATCTCCAGTGATTTATTTTATTTTTTTCATTAAAATAGAATAATTCTTTTACTAAAATAACTCTGTAATATAGTTGATTGTATTCTAATGATACTCTATCATAGAGTTAAAAATAAAGTAATGAAGAAAAAATAAATAGATAATTCTATTTATATAAAGAAGTCATTTCTTATTCTATTTATAGAGTAAATTTATTCTCTATAATAGAGTAGAAAATAGAATACCATTTGAATATTTACTCTAAACTCTATTTTATAAGACTACATGTATAATGGATATAATTATTCAACATCCTAATTACACTTTTAACATTCCATATCATTTTCTCTCTCTTTCTTTTTTTTTATATCATTTTCTTTTTCTTCCACCTATTATTCAAATACTCTACCCTACTATTTTATCTCATCTTTTATTATTTAGTTATATTTTCTGAAGAATAAAATTGAAAACATTTTTTAAAATCATAATAACTAAAAAAATTTAAAACTGTGATTTATTTTTTTATCACAAAACTACTTTTGATCCACAAAGTGTATTTTCTTCAAAAAATAATAATATTATGATAAAAAAACAGATTTTCCCTATATCCAAATAAAATAAGTCTCATAGAACAAAACAAAAATTATAAATTTTGATGTTTCTACAATAAATATTATTTGATATAAAATAATTGATCTCAGATAAAATAGAGTGTAAAAGTGAACAAATTAACATTGTAGGTCCTATACCAAATGCTTTCAATATATTGAGTTCAACAAACAACAATCCACATCCTTATTGTTTTTGGTTTTCAACAACATAGCTATTACATGTATTCAACTGTTGAAAGTTTGATTCAACCTACTTATTTATTGTACATGGTCTAGTGAAAAATAAAATAGAGTTGTAGATAGTCTTAAACCTGGAGTTTCGGATATAAACCAGGAGCCAGCCTAGGTTTAGCAGATGCAAGTAGAGGCTTGGCCATGAACAAGTTGGTATTAGCGGCAATGAGCTCGACTTGGCTTGCACCCGGTGGCAGAGTCCATTCAAACCCTTGGAGAAGCCTAGCTAACAACATGACGATCATTGTTGTTCCAAGCTTAGGACCTGCGCAGCCACGCCGACCGGTGCCGAATACCACGAAACCCATGTCGGGTTCCATCAGTGTAACATCCACTGGGTCCCTAGAATGATCAAGGTGTCGCTCTGGCTTAAACGCGTCAGGATTCTCCCATGTCTTAGGGTTCCGACCAAGTCCTGGACGGCTCACAAGAATTTGACTACCTGTCGTTGCAATTTAACATATATAACCACGGCATATTCTGTTCGTTTGTATTCTTTTAGAATACTCTATGCCATAAACTGTTTGACAGATGTTAAGCAGGACCTCCCTATATATACTATGGCTTGGATTGCTGACTGTATGTTTAAGGAAAAACGAAAATAAAATAATGGACAGAAATTCACTTGAAAAAATTGAATAAATAAGAAAATAGGATTTTTTGTTCAATTGGCTCCTCATAAAATTGTAGAGACAAATATTTATTCATAAATTCTTTTAAACAAGCCAAAGTTGGAGAACGTCACCGATTCAAACCTATATTGAATAATTTCTCCATATTAATACAATATTTTATCTTGACCTTTTATTAATAGTGAGGCTTTAGTGTATATAATAAATATGGAATTTTTTTTACCTTTGGGGACAAAATAACCAGCAAGAGTAGTATCTTCTCGGGCTCCATGAGGAGGCATAAAAGCATTAGGTGGGTGAAGCCGGAAAGATTCTCTGCAACAAGCTTTGATGTAGTTAAGTTGTGGTATGTCTGATTCCTGGACAAGTCTGTCTTTGCCAACTACAGTGTTCAATTCTTTTGTAGCTTTCTCAAGAATCTCTTGATGATTCAACATCTCCCCTATCGTCCACTCCACAGTATTCATTGTATTGTCGATGGTTGCAACATTGACATCCTACATATGAAATGCATGATAGTATAATACATGTGTAAGAACTAAGACCATGATTAACTCCGGATTCTTAGAGCATGATTATCCCAGAGGTGCTTAAATTTTTTTGGTTTTTTCGAAATTAAAAAAAAAGATAGAAAAATGACTAATCGCGGGTCGCCACGTGTCGTGGGCCATCAGGCCAAACAACAACCCAAAAAGACGCTTATTCTGGAGTTTGAAGCGTCGACTTTTGTGGTCCCCTCTCCTAAGCACCCCCTTTAGCATCAGGGATAATCATGCTCTTAGAAATGAGATTTTAACGGAAATTAACAAAATTGTTTCTTAACTTTAAACTAAAAAACTAAGAACCGGTTCAAGTCTTAAAGTCCTTATCTAAAAACCGGTTCTTAGCGTTTTTAGTTAAAAGTAAAGACACAATTTTTTTAACTTCCACTAAGAATTTCATCACAAGAACCCCGAGTTAATCATGCTAGCTCTAAGATATGAAGCCCTAATTTGATTTTTTGCCTTCTTCTTCTTTTTTTTTTTTTTTAACAATTCTTACCTTGCATTGAGCCCTAATCTCCTCAAATGTGAATAAATACATTCCTTGATCATCTTTTTGCGTGATTAGAATATCAAGCCAATCTTCTTCCGTCTCTTTTCCACCTTCCTCCCTCCACAAATGCATTCTCTCACGGATTATCGGGTCGTTGCACCTGTTGATAATATCAACCGCTTCTCTTACTTCCTTCTCCTCACCCTCGACGTTCCATCCTCTAAGAAAAGGGAGATAGTCTGCTACACTGAAACCGAATAAACAATCAAGAGCTCGATATATTGCGTCCATGTGCTCTTTCTCTTTCGGCCCAAGACCACCATCCTTAGCCGGTTTATCAAAATATCTCTGGCCAAACAGCATCCTCATCATCACGGCGTGGCTGTATGTTAACGCAACATCCCTCACGTTAACCTGCTTCGTCAAAGACCCTGATTGGCATATTATATTGTACACATACGTGACAATGTTATTAGCTTCTACGTTTCTATCACCAAGAGTCTTGTTAAGAGTTGTAGAAGACATTAGTTTAGTAACCATCACTTTCTTCGCTAGCTTCCACCGCTCACCGTAAGGAGAGAAACTAACGCCCTTGTAGCCATGACTTATGAGTTTGATCGAGTATGCCTCAGCTCTGTCTGCGAGAGCCTTGTCCTTTTCCCTAAGCACTTCTCGGGCAATCTCGCTTGAGGTTACGATGATGACATGGACGCTGGCAAAACGGAAGCAAGCTATCTCCGTTTCCATAGCTTCCATGACGCGGTGGATCCACTGATGAGCCGGCCGGTTCATGATCATTTGGAACAAGTTTCCAATGATCGGCCATCCCTTTGGGCCCGGAGGAAGTTGAAATTTTGATTTCTTGGATCTCAAGGAACGTATAGCTAAGGCCAGGACCAGCATAATGGAAAGTACAAGCGTGAAAGTAGATGGATAGGTCATATTCATGTTCATGTTATTATTCTTTTCTTTTAGGTAGGAGTGCTAAAGTCTAGAGTTGCTATATATAAAACCGCTCATACATCCCAAGTTCCCAACCAATGGGTAAAAAACAAAATACCGATAATAATATTTCATCAAGAACTAACTTTAAAAATTCTCCTCGGGGAACTCGCCATTCTTTAGATGACGGAAAATCGAATATACATATTATTATATGTATGATTTATATTTGTAAATACTAAACAGACATGATTTAGTCATGATTAATCGTGACTATTTTTGTCACTACATTGTAAAGTCTTGTGTATTTATTTTTTTTTGAAATGAAAATGTATGTATTTACATCGTGCCTGTTTCGGGGATATTACTAAAAGAAAATAAAAGTATCAAAAAGTTTATTAATTACTAAAGTTTTAAAAATACACAATAAATATTATACTAGTACGTTTCATCCATTCTACGCACGTGTATTCTTT